GACTCACTACAGTTCTGGTGTGAGCTGTCCCTCAAGGGGACCTTAGATCTCTTCCACTGCATAACAGACACACAGACTGCAGACCGGACTACTTCTAGTTCCGTCCAGGTGCAAAGTGTTTTCTCTAAATATGTCAGAAAACAAACATTTCAAAAAATTAAACGCAGATTGTTCATTTTAACAGCAACCTCTTGTCTCATGGAAGCAGCCATGAGGGTTTAATCCATCCCTGCTGGCTTCAAGCCCTGTGTACCTATAGTCACACTCTCTCAACAAGCATTCTCCCTTTTTGTTTTTGAGACAAGGCTTAGCTGTGTAATTCAACCTGGCTTTGAATGCACTATGTAGCTCGGGTTGGCTTCAAACTCATGGTAATCCTCCTGCCTCGGCCTCTCGAGTGCTGGGATCACTGGCTCAACAAGCATTCTTCTGAGAGGACGGCACCTGAATTCACAAACAGCTGTATGAGCTTCTTAAACCCAGGTCTGACTATTACTTGGCACGGCCCTCACCGTGTAAAGCAGCAGCGACAGGCGAAATGCCACAGTGATGTGCGGGGCTGAAGGCAGTGTTGGTTCGAGCTTTCTGGAGTTGTCCCTGTTAGCAATTTTATATTTTCATTTATAGACAGAGTCCTCGCCTTCCGGGGCCTTGTGCATCCACCTCGCCTGGTAAGGAAAGATGCCGCCTTTGAAGTGGGCGAGCCCTAAAGTGTGGCTTCACCGGCATAATGCTCACTCCTCGTGGCTCTGCTGCAATAACAGGCAGAACGCCAGGCTGAGCGCCAGAAGCTCCACGGGGTGCAGGTGGGGCCGCACTAGCTCCCGAGCCTGCAGGGAGCACTCTGCCCCCTGAGCTCTGTCCCCTCTGCCCTACCTGTCATCCCAGTTTCTGCCTCTCAGGGCCTTGCACCCCTCTGGCTGCTGGTTCGGTTCTTCCTCAGCCCACCCAAGGGTTCTAGCCCTCCCAGTGCACTCCCACCGGAATCTCAGGAGCATTTTCCTGACCTCCACCGAGCGTGGCTTCCTCAGGTTTCTTCATGGAGCGGCACACACGTCTTCTTTCTCTTCATCTTGAACCAAGGCCTGCTGTGCATCTGGGTTCTACCCCGAGCTTTGCATCTCACTAGACAGGCAGCTGGGACTTTGGGGGGCTCCTGAACCCCGACAGCAGTGGCTCTGCGCTGACCTCTCCAGAAATTGTCTCTGGCTTCTCCATCCGCCCGACACTCAGCCTGGCCTCTCCCCATGCCCCTTGGTTGGTTCCTTCCCTCTCTCCTGTGTGCTGCTTGTCGGATGCGGTAGGACAGGATCCCCATTCACCTGGTCTTGCTTTTCTGTTTTCTTTTTCTGCAGAGCTGGGCATGGGTCCCAGGGCCTCACATGTGCTAGGCAAGCGCTGCACTGCTGAGCCACACCCCAGCCCTACTCTTTTCTTCCTTGAAAAATATGTCTGTGGTTCATTGCAGGAGTTCATGGCATGGCTGTGTCTCCTCCACCCACTTTTAGTATATTCTGTTTTTTCCCTTGCTTGGTAATACATTTCTTTTGAGACAGGGGCTTGCTGTGTATTTCAGGCTGGCCTTGAACCCATGGTTATCCTCCTGCCTCAGCCTCCTGAGTGCTGGGACTACAGGTGTGCACCGCCACAGCGAACCATGTAATAGACTTCAGATTTTTAATTAATGGAAGGGGATAGAGGGAGAAAACAAGAGGCCATGTCCTCTGAGAAGGTCCTGCCATGTGTGCTGTGGCGTAGATACTTGTGCCTGGTCTATGCATGGGCCTTGCTTTCTTTAAAGCAGTTTGAAATGACTGTATGCATGTTTTAAACAAATCTGCTAGCAGAAGATGTATTATAATTCCAAAATGAGTTACTGTTATTGTTGCCAGCTGCATCAAACTGTGCACCTATTATAAAAGTGGTGTTTATTGTGGTTTCCATGTGCACACAGCTTAATTTCAGAGGAGCAACCTCTTTGTCATGTGCACCAAAGAATGGAGAGTCTTGGGGTTGCTGTCTATTATTCTTAGAGAAAGATGTCCTTTAGCATTTGCACCTCTTCTAAAAGCAGGCCTTTTCTAGGTCCCTCCCCGACAGGTGCTGGCCTTCTCGTGAATGATGGATTCACTCAGTAAGTTTCTCGCAGACATGACAGTGCGGAGTCTGCTCAACCTCCTTTTTATTGTATTTTAGTAATAAAATAAGAAGCGCTGATGAGCTCATCTGTCCAGGCAGGTGCCACACATGGACTTTGCATCACGTCAGAGGGAAAGAAGCAACATATACCCAGGAAAGAAAATGAATGTGTATCATTTTAATGTAGAAAATGTTTTTCAAGATCAATACAATAAGCCACTTGGCTTTAGCCGGACTTCTTTTAGCATCATGATTGAAAATGACTCAGGTCTACATTCCCTTTTCACTATGGCTCTGTTTTTGGCTTGCTCAGAGAAGATCTAAAGCGAGCCAAGTGACATTGCTAGGGGTCTACGCCAGACCGACGCTCATCTTTCCCAGTTTTCCGTAGATTTTAGAGAAATGATCCTGAGAGGTGGGTAAAGAGCAGCAAATAAATCCAGATGCCTCCATGTGCAGTTTGTTCCTCCTCACCGCATTGTCGAGGTACTGGTTTAATCAACCTTTTGGGAGAAGAGTGGGTTTTCTTGAAATGAGCATCTTATTTGTGAGTTTCTAAGCGCAAAGCATTTTTCTAATGAAAACAGAGCCAGGACCGAAAGCCCTGGCCTAGCCTTCGGGAACCGGATTCGCCTGGAATTCAGTGGCATCATCACCATTGGAAACAGGTGTGAGCTTCTAGGCTGGGGCATGGTCCGTGTGCTTCTGACAGAGCTTTAGCACTTCCTGTTCAACTTTCCCAGCCAGTGCTTTAGATTGAAGTTGAGGACAGCGCATTCCGAGCCACATTCTGGTGGGTTGTTTTCCCCCAGCTTTCAGCGAAACTGTAATGAAGCAATGGGAATTATTTAGGATACCCAACTTCAGTTTATAATTTCGCATGGTCACTGCTAGTTGTCTCCTCTCCCATTAAGGCTGAACTTGTGAAGAAGGGATTTTGACAGTTTCTGAAAGCCTGTTGGTTCAAGGGCATCTGGAATTCAGAAAGACAGCCAAGATTGTTGAAGGCCTCTGGTTCAAAATCAAACACGCAACAGGACACTAGGCCAGTCCCAAGCCAAGCGAGCCTGATGTAAATGTGCCAACTTCCGCCTGGAAGCCACTGCCCTGGACCTTGCTGCCTCCGTCTCTCCATGGGTTGCCTCTGTTTGTCCCCCCGGCAGGGCTGCCTCTACAATAGCTTCTTCCCCAAAGTGTAAACTGACCTGGGGGTGAGGCCAGAGTGAACCGGCACACCCCACACAACGCCAGGGCCGCGCTGTGCCCTCCACACACACACAACCCACAGGGCAGACTGGGACGTCCCTGACTTCTCCCACTAGTTCAGTCGTTTGTGCATTGGTCTAGAATATTTAGGTCACATGATACAAAGACATGCATTTGGGACTTTTTGGAAATGCCTATATGTTGGTCACTTAAAAGAAACAGTCTTTGGCATTTGCAGGTCCTTGCTGTCATTTCACAGTGGCTGGCTCTTCCTGCCTCTCTACCTTTGTGTCAAAACCTGAGTTTGAAAAGATTTCTGCCACATTTCACAGTGAGCTGGAAAAATGATTCCTCTTCTCTAGTAGTTTGGTTGGTTTTATTTTCTTGAGACAGGGTCTTGCTATGTGGTTCAGGTTGGCCTTGAACTCACAGCGATCCTCCTGCCTCACTCCCAAGTGTACCTGGCTTTTCTCTAGTAGTTCGGTGAGACACCACAGGGAGCAGCAGGTAAATGCAGCCATGCGGGGCCGCCTCTCCCAGGAGGCCAGCAGCTCTCTTTGTGCTCCTAGCCAGGAGGTCAGTCTGGCCTCGCAGGGGAGGAAGCTGCTCCTGGGGCTGGTGTTTGGTTTCCCAGCACAATGGATACTGGGTCCTCCTGTCCCCCCCCCC